TGGACAGTGATTGCTAGGCGGTCGAAGCATTGTCCTCTGATGAGTGATGGTCATTCTCCTAGGAAGGAGGAAAGTCCTTTATCTTCAGCTAAGTTTCACGAGGAGGAGGAAGGGATTCGCATTTCCCAAATTCGTCTCAGGGGTGTTCATACCTCTTCTCCTCCTTCCTTCTCTCCGGCTTGCAATCCAGTTCGTTCTGCAAAGGCTAGAAAGAAGGCCCGTCGGAAGCTTCGTCTTAAATCTATGCTGGATGCAGAGGGTGGGTCTGAGGTATTGGCTGATGTTATCACCTCCATTTCTCTTTCTGGCAATCCTTTAAGTATTCCGCCTAGGGGTCGTTCGCCGCCGCGAATGGCTTCTCAGGTGATAGCTTAGGAAGAGAGTCTTCCCTTTTTTGCAATCCCTTGAAGATATTCAGTTGGAATGTAAGAGGCCTCAATGGCCGTGCGAAACAAAAAGCAGTCTCAAGGTGGTTGACCGTTAATCGGCCTATAGTCAGTGGTTTTTTGGAGAGTAAGGTGCAAGAGCACAATCTCTCGTCGGTTATGAATAAGGTTCTTCCCGGATGGTGTTTTCAAGATAACTATTCCGAGGAAGCAATAAATTGTAGAATTATTTTGGTTTGGGATCCAGCGCTATCTGTTATCACCTTTTTCAAATCAGATCAGCTTTTTATATGTGGAATTATGGACCATGCTACCAATAAGGCTTTTACTCTAGGACTGTTTTATGCACGTAATGAAGAGGTTCCCCGGCGTCTTCTTTGGGAATCTCTTGTGCAAATCGGGACTTCTCCAATTGTGGCAAACTCTCCTTGGGCTGTCCTGGGAGACTTCAATCAGGTTCTATCATCGGATGAAATATTTTCCTTCTATCCTTTTTCTATCTCTGTGCCGAGGATGTTGGATTTCCAGACGTGTCTCTCTTCAAGTGGATTATTTGATCTTCCGATGACTGGTTCTCGATGACTTGGACTAATCGACAACCTGAAAATCCTATCTCTCGTAAATTGGATCGGGCTCTTGGGAATGAAGCTTGGGATGATTGTTTCCCTCTCTCTTCTGTTCATTTTGATGCACCAGGACCCTCCGATCATTCCCCCTATCTTCTGACTTTAGAGGAAAATGTTTATCGGAGAAAGACCCCTTTCAAGTTTTTACCTTCCTCACATCTCATCCTGATTATGCGAGACTGTTAACCGAAGCTTGGGATGATTCTTCTTTTCAGGGTGCTCCTATGCAAGTGTTGTATAGGAGACTTCGGGATGCCAAATTCTGTTGCAACTCTCTCAACAAATCAAGTTTTAGCAACATTCAATTGAGAACTAAGGAGGCTTATCAAAAGTTGGTTGATATTCAAGAGTTGGTTCTTTCTTCCCCTTCTCAGGAGCTTTTTCAGGAGGAGAAGGACGCGAGGTTATCGTGGCAATTCTGGGACTCGGCTGAGGAATCTTTCTTCAAACAGAAATCCAGGATTCGATGGCTCGATGTGGGAGATGCCAACTCCAAGTTTTTTCATAAGTCAGTCTCTGCTAATCTTGCTTGCAACACTATTAGTTATCTGAGAAGAGAGGATAATACCAAAGTCTCCGAGAGGGATCAGGTGAAAGACATGGTTGTTCAGTACTACACCAATCTGTTGAGGACTCCAAATTCGGTGGTAAATGCTTATTCAATTGACCATATTCGCTCTCTCCATCCGTTTAGATGATCAGAAGGGCTATCCCTTCGTCTCTCAGCTATCCCTTCGGATGAAGAAATCAGGACTGCAATGTTTTCTCTCCCAGATAATAAAGCTCCTGGCCTAGATGGATTTACCCCAGAATTCTTTACTACTTCATGGAATCTGGTGGATGGAGATGTTATTGATGCTGTTCGAGATTTCTTTGTGTCTTCTAGGATGCTTTGTCAGGTTAACTCCACCGTCATTGCGTTGATTCCTAAGAGAGTGGGAGCTGATCGTCTTCCTGATTTTAGACCCGTTTCTTGCTGTAATACGATATATAAAGTAATATCTCGGATCATCTCGTCGAGGCTCAAGCTTTTTCTGGCAAATGCTGTCCAGGGTAACCAGGTTGGGTTCGTTCCAGGTCGTTTGCTCTGTTAAAATGTCTTGCTTGCATCGGAGCTTGTCTCTGAATTCCACAAGCCTGGTCCAATCTCCAGGGGTTGTCTTCAGGTGTATATTTCTAAAGCTTATGATAACCTCGATTGGAAATTTGTCTTGAATCTGCTTAAAGCCCTGGAGCTTCCCCCAGTTTTTATTTCTTGGATCAGAGAATGTATTTGCACGACCTCGTATTCGGTTTCTCTTAACCGGGAATTGGTTTGTTTCTTCCCGGGGAGGAAGGGATTGAGGCAGGGTGACCCTATATCCTCCTCTTTGTTCGATCTTGCGATGGATATTCTTTCTAAAGAGATAGACCTGGCGGTTATGCAGCATCAGATTGTGTCGCATCCTCACTGTGTTAATCCCCTCATTACTCATCTCAGCTTCGCTGACGATGTCTTGGTCTTTTTTGACGGATCTGAAGGCTCGCTTGAGGAAATTTTTAACGTGTTTCAGAGGTTCTATCTCTCTTCAGGTCTTGCCCTCAACTTCAATAAGTCTGCTTTGTTTCTGGATGGTGGGAATCCTGCTATTTCCCAGGCTCTGGCGGATCGTTTTGGGCTAATTCATGGTGCTCTGCCTGTTAGATATTTGGGCCTCCCTCTTCTTCCACATAAAATGGGGGTCGCAGATTATCAGCCCCTCCTTGATCGTGTTCGAAAGAGGATTTCTTCCTGGTTGGTTAGGCATCTCTCCTTTGCTGGGAGATTGCAATTGGTTAAATCAGTTCTTGCAGGAATCATCAATTTCTGGGCATCGGTCTTTCCTTTGCCTAAGAAATGCTTGGAGGAATTAGAGAGGATGTGTAGTGCCTTTCTTTGGTCGGGTGCTGCGGATTCTGCTCGCGGAGCAAAGGTATCTTGGGCCTCTGTTTGTACTCCGAAGGAAGCTGGCGGTTTGGGTCTTCGACGTCTTGTTGCTTGGAATAAGATATTTGGGCTCAAGCTTATTTGGCTTCTCTTCACTAAAGCTGGATCGCTATGGGTCTCTTGGGTCAAGAAAGTGCTTCTGAGAGACCGGTCCTTTTGGGATCACACTGTGGATAATTCAGACAGTTGGATATAGAAATGGCTGCCAAAGCTGCGCCCTCTTGCTAGGCCGTTTGTATGTTGTGTCATTGGTTCGGGTGAATCCACCATGTTTTGGCTTGATGACTGGACCGGGCTCGGTCCCCTGATTGATATTACTGGCTCAAATGGTCCTCGGGTAACTGGACTCTCTCGATCTATCAAAGTTTCCTCTGCTGCTGCAAATGGGAGTTGGCTTCTTCCACATGGGTGTCATCCTATTACAGTGTTACTTAGGGCTGCTCTACCGCCTTCTTGCTGTTTTCATCTGAATCGAGAAGATGCTTTCAAATGGCGTCTTCATCCTGGTGCGGAACCAGGATTGTTCAGCGCATCCGCAACTTGGAATGTTCTCCATCCCTTGGGGCCTCGGGTTTCTTGGGCTAAGAGTGTTTGGTTTTCGCAAAGGATTCCAAAACATGCCTTTCTTCACTGGATTATATCTCGCGATCCCCTGCCTACCCGAGATAGGCTTCGCAGTTGGGGCCTCTTAGGTTCTTCGTCTTGTCTTCTATGTGGTGTTGCAGATGAGACTAAGGATCACCTCTTCTTTGATTGTTCCTTCTCCTCTCAGGTTTGGGCTTCATTTTTTAGGCATCATATCCTCACGCCTCCCTCCCCTCTTCATGATATTGTGAGTTGGGTTGTCTCTCCATCTCGTAATGTTAAGCTTAACTATATCTGTAAGCTCATTCTTCAAGTTTGTTTATATGAAATATGGAGGGAGAGAAACTCTCGATTACATGGGGCGGTGTCCAAGCCCCTTTCCCAGGTAATTAGGAATATCCATTCTTTTCTCCGTGCAAAGCTTGCAGGCTTAGATAGGACCGCTATAGCTAGGCATCAAGCACCGGCGACTGAGGATTCTTATCTGACTTCTTGGTTCCTGTTTGTGCAGCTTTAGCTTTCTTATCTTTTGCCTTTGTTTCTCTAGTTTGACTATATCGCCTACCATGTTGGTTGGGTTTTCCTATTTTCTGTTTAAGTCATAATTTTAGATCTTTGGCTCCTGTGTAATTTTGCTCCAAAAAGGTATCTCTTTTAGGAAAGCCAAAATGAATGGAAAATAAAGTTAAAAAAATATATATATTTGAAATGGTAACAAAAATATGGTGTTTTCTATATATTAAAAAGCTTTGTATCTATTTTGGCATACATTTTGTTCTTTCATAAATATAGTCTTTGCCGTGTAAGTTTTTATGAAAGACTTCTGCCTCCAAGATTCGAACGGAAAAGACTAACAAAATAAATACACCTGTACAAAACTTACACGGTTATCCGAGTAGCCAGTAAACAACAACCTCATTTATTGGAATTTACTGTGATAGACCATCCCTAATCATGCATAGGCACGTTATATAATCTACACATAATTAATCACGAGTCATGAGTTGTCTTTTTCATATTTAATTATCTATTTGTGTTCTTCTATCACTAGATGGTTGCAGAGTATCATTCGTCTTTGCAGCAACATTTATCTAGTACTTTACTTATATCTCAATTCTCAAAATCCCCATACATTTTCGGAATTTTCATGGAATACCTTTTTTCTTCTTCTTTTTTTTATCAAAAATTCTTTCCTAAAAATGCTCATCTTTTCTCACTTTAAACAGTAGAGACAAATGTTGAAGCGGCAAAACGGATTGTTCATTATGTGGATATACTATATATTATAAGTAATTTATGTTCTATTTTTTCCCTAAATTAAAAGAAGCAACCGGCAACAATCAGCATAATCATGGGAAAACTTTCTACCAAAATGCTGTTGAATTACACTCCATGCTCTCTTACTTAACAAATCACAAAGTTATTTCCTTTTGTTAATGATTATTGGATAATCTTTAATCAATACAAGCCCATTAAACAATAAATATATTAAAATTATGAGATAATTAAGATCTTGGCGGATTCTCATAAAATTGAGTCCCAGGCATGGACATGTTTTCCGGGCCTTGGTTATATAAAATTCCCTTAAAGACGTGACCAGCTATGCCCACCGTCGTCTGGTAAGCATATTGGCCATCTCCGTCGTCATCGGCACCGCTCATTTTAACGCACCGGAAAAGTGCATCTGAGTTCACTTCTTCTGGAAATGTTGTCTCTCCCATCTCTAACCCTAAGAAAAGTTACAAAAAACTCAGTGCAAACATTTCACAATAAAAAAAAAAAAAAAATCAAAACCCTAACAAAATCAAAACGTTGACTCAAAACTTTGAAGCCAAACCTGATGAATCTAAGGTAGCCGGTAGATCAATCCCTTCTCTATACCCTTTCAAGATATTCCCACCGCCTCGGCCACCGCCATTTCCACTGGAGGTTGGCGTCTGTATCTGCTGCTGCCGCTCACGGCGTTTGGCGGTTGGGATCCACGTGCTCCTCACGTGAGTAGGACAGTCGAGCCCTTGGCTCTTACAGCAAGTTCTGCACCGCATGTGCGTGCACCCTTTCTTGGCTTGGTTTCCACAGTCTTGACAGCTTATGGTTACGGATCTTGATGACGTGTTCAGATCACAGACGTCAATCTGACCTGGATATAGGTCAAGGCTTTGCTGTTGTTGCCATATCTGCTGCTGCTGATTGTTGTGGCTCGTGTTTGGGTGACTTGTGTTTCTGTACCAAACCCAATTTGTCTTTTGTTGATTTTCTTCTTCGTTTTTTCTTGATGATCCTATCCCAGCCATTTTTAACCTTTCACCTAGCTCCTCCTAGAATACCTAATCTTGAATAACAATATTCATAATTCACAAACCCTAATTACCTCATAAAATAACCGTATCCTTCTCCCCACAGATTGTGTTCTTCACTTGAAGGATGAATACTTGGGGTGACAACGGAGAGAGACAGTGAGAGAAACTACAGATGTCTCTTTTTACTCACGCTAGATTTCTTTTATGCCGACATGATGAGAGTTACAGAGAATTTACGTTTGTCTCTCTCTCTCTCTTGACTCTTGGATAGTTTTTTTTTTCTTTTTGTAGATTTTGAGAAAGTTAAGTGAAAAAATTGTTGTCTGAGCAAAATCTTCTGGTTCTGTCTCTTTATAAAAGTAAAACAAAACCAATCAAAGAACCTTTATTCCCTCTCTCTATGTATCTCTAACTCTTTTATTACTTCTTGATCTCAATCTCTAGCTATCGGTTGCATCACTAGATTCTCTCTTCTCTTGCTCAATCTTAGGGACAATAGTTGGCCACGTGGCAGTGATGAAACCGGAAAAGTTGCAAATGGGTTGTGTCCATACGTTTATATTATCATACCTCATCTCAAACATTTCTCTAATTAATTAATCGCATTACCAGGTTTTAACTAAGGTAATTTGCCATTTATACGGTTGAGAAAGGCAAAACCCTAACATTACTTTTTAATAGAAAAGAAACCCTATCGTCTAAATATATACATCTTCCTTCTGAGTATAATATATACTACATAGGATTAACTAGTGCTCAAGATACCATAGGATCCTTTTTTACACATGATATAGTCTTAATGATAGGGATAGATATATGTATTTGATAGATTCCTATCGTTTTACCAAGTTATCAATTCATTAGTAGAGAATAACAGGTTAAGGTATTATAAGTTCAAAAAATATCATTTAATTAAAATTAAATTATTTCTCGTTAAGTTATGTTAAGTATGATTCATAACCAAGTGTAGATAATCCTATTCAAGGAACCTGCCCTACAGAGACCATGATTTAAACTGTTTTGGGATGGGCTTGGCCAATAACTTCGATTTTTGAGAAACTATAGGTTGAGGCCAGCACATCTCCTCGTTCAGGCATGGGCGTAGATTTCGGGCTTCGTCTTTCAACTTTCCATATCCCATTCTTCTTAAGCAAAATTCGAATCCATCTTATTATAGATAGTAGTACAGTACGACAGTTTGTTTGGAGAACAATATTTCGACCAAGTTAGTTACCTATATATACTTGATGAGAACTTCTCTATTAACCAATTCAGAAAACAAAGTAATCTAAAAAAAAGACATATATCTTAGTCCCTACAAATTCAAAAATATAAACAGAGAGAATGAGTATTGTGGCAAGAGGAATAAAAGAAGCATGTTACTCTATTTTGTTTTTACTATTTAGAGTGGCTATGCAAGGGAACATTGCGCCACCTACGTGTCTTTTGCAATGTGCTCTTTCCCTTTTTTTAACCATTTTTTTTTTGTAATGTAATATAATATTATATTCAACAACAACAACAAAAATGACAATGAAATGCAACGCTATTGAATTGAAAAAGAAATTTGAAAAGACCTGGAAACTTGATAAGAAATTTTGACATGGAAAAACAGCGACGAAACCAGTTTTCTATTGGACCTTTGAGTAGCAAACCAGCGATTTTTTTTTTTGACGTAACCGGCGAATTAGAAATGCATATTTTGGATGTTATTGCAATATGTAATTTGAGAGATTGTAATGTAATGCCAACCATGCTAGAAACGCATATTTTGGAAATTTCTGTTAAATCTTTCTTTCGTTTGAATATTACTTCATTATATATAGCCAAAAACAGTTCAGTTAGTACAACTGTACACAACATTAATTCAATGATTTTAAAACTGAACTTTAAGAACTTTTCGAAATGTAACTTTATAGTGTGTTCAAAAGAGAACAATACATAGTACAATTTGATTATTTGTGGGTGTATATGTGCAAGAGCAGAAGGGAAAGATAGAAAACCCTGTAGTTTATAGAAATCTCCATTTTATATTTATGGGCCTTACTCTTTATTTGATTTAAAAAAAATTAAAGAATCTTAATTGTTGTCGAATTAATGATTTTGAAGATTTTTTATTGTATTTTAAAAATTATTTTCTCATCAATCAGAGATCTTGTTATCGTGTTTGTTGCTAGTGGTTTATAGCATAAGTCAGTTGCTCTTCTCTTCTAGAATTGTATTTCGGTTGCTTTTACCCCCTCTAGTAACTGTGTAACGTTCCAGTTTTGTTGCCCTCTTGTTTTTTCTTGGGCTCCCTGTAAATAACTTTGCGGTTTGATTAATATTAACATGGAAAATCAAAAAAAAAAAAAAAAATTAAAAAGCATAAGTCAGTTGCTTGTTACCGACCTTTTTTGTAAATACCTTAATCAATTTTTTTTCTTTCTTATTACCGATTCTTTTTAGTGGTTGATATATGTATGCTATTGATGTTGGATTCTTCAAACTGATATTTGAGATCACCAACTTATTTATAACCTATCTAAGTATCATTCTTTTGCTTTTAGTTGGAATCTCCTTGTTATATTATAGTGATCGTATCCGAATTCAACCAGGGCAAGTACTGTTGTGTTAACATCCGAGAAGGTAGTTATGATGTACAGAAAAAATGTTGAAGAATTTCTGAGAAGTTATATATGAATCTGGGAGAAGTGATGTACGATGCTGGAATTATTATCTATTCATTAGCTAGATAGTTCCAACACAACGGGTAGATACTAACCTACCAAAGTTTAAAGAACACAAAACCTACCAAAGTTCAAAGAAAACAACGCAAAAACCTACCAAAGTTCAAAGAAAACAACGCAAAAGCCTACCAAAGTTCAAAGAACACAGAATACTAACTAATCTGAAATAGAAATCCTAAAAAAACAAAACTAGGAAACCAAAGCTAATCAATCCCTAGAGTTGCCGGAAAGTGTCTCATCCTCTTCTGGCAAGAAGTATCTATTCTTCACCCATAAAGAATCAGCGACAACAGGTTCATCATCTTGGTTCCTATGCCAAGTGTAAAGTGCATGAGTCCTGTTCTTTATCTCTAACATAGCATGTCCAAAACTAGCCTCTCTATAAGCTGAGTAACTCGGTTGGGGATACGTGTAACTGCATGATAAACAAATTATCTTAATCAAACAGCACAAATAATAATCAAATGTTATATAATTAAAATTATATGTTCTTACTCGTTAGCTATTCCTTCTATATTGCCTCCATCTCCAATGGTGATGTAAATCGGAGCAGATGGATTTTTAATAGGAGAACTCAAACCATCAGTGATATTGTACTTAATGTTGGAGACACGTTCAGATCTCTCGTAGGCATGAACATGACCAGCAAAGACAATATCAACTTTGTTTTGGACAAACCATGGCTCGAATGTGACTCTCATGCTTTCACCTTCCATATAGTGATAATTGTTGCTGTTGTACCATGGAGAGTGGACTAGAACAAGCAGCCATGGAGTCTCTTCTCTGTTTACCTTCTTGAGCTCACTCTCAAGCCATGAATTTTGCGGTGTGTACTTGTCTGTGCATAGTAACATGTCGCCAAAAAAAAATTAGATTGTAATATACAGAATGTAATAGTGTAGTAGAGTCTTAGATCATTACCGAAAGCTGAGTAAGAAGAGAGTACAATGATGTAAGCAGAGGCTCGTTTGATTGAGTACCAAAGCGGAGAAGTGCTCTGCGATGCTCTATAAGGAACGTGGTAACGGTACATGTATGGCTTGAAGGCTTGAGTCTCGCCCTGCAAACAAATTAAAAGGTTTATCCCTAAGAAAACAAAAAAAAAATATAGAACGATATGTATAGACTATATCTTACAATCCACTGGGCAAAATCAATCTCGTGGTTCCCTGCAGCCCAGATCCAAGGCTGATACGCGGCACTGGGTTCCACAAATCGGCCATAAGAATCCCATTTTCTTTGGTCGTGGTTTGGATGGTCATCGGCATATGACAAGTCTCCAACAAACAGCACTGCTTGGCCTTTGGGATTTGACATATAATGGTACAATGTCTGGTTGGAGGCATAGGTTTGTCCAAGATCACCTACGTACACAAAAGCAAACAGAGTTCAGTGGCGAATCTACATGGTAGAATGAGAATGAGGATGCAGCTAACACCGTTTCAATTTATAAAACTAATTTAATATATTGTAAAGTCTGATTAATTATTCAGCAAATTTTATAGTTTTCCTATAATTCATTATTTTGTTGTCCTTGAAAATCAAAATTCAAATCATAACTAGATATCCCGAGAAACAGAAAAATCATAAACAGAACAAAAAATCGGTTTGCTCCAAAAAAAACGAACAAAAAATCTGAGAAAATTCATAAATAGATTATATTTTATCTTTGCACAATTTATACTTTATTTTATCTACTATTTTCTGTTAGAGAAAAAAATCATAGTTCGAACATATCAACTTTAATTTGCATTTTTTTTTTTTGGGTTAAAAACAGATCAACTTTGCAATACGTCATTTCTATGTAACTAGAGAATTGACAAAACTTATAGCCTGTTAAAAAAAAAATAGTTTTATACGAACTTATAGATAGTAAAACTAGCCAAATGTTTTGAGTTAAAAACTTAAATAAAATTATTAATGAGACTAAACATGTGGTGACATGATTTAGTTTTAGTATCAGTTATTTAGTTTTAATTTAACAGTACGTAAAAAACACAATTTTTTAAAAAGTATACTTTATATATATATATATATATACTTTATATATATATATATGTGCTGTAGAGAAAATAGTTATAATTATAGGTAAATTTTATTTCTTAGACCCCGTAAAAAAACTTCTGATCTGCCATTAACAGAGTTAATACTTTTTATGAAATAAGTAACATTTAAAAGCGATTTTAGGTCGCCTGGATTAGTAACTTTTTTGTTACGAAAAAAAGAAATAATTAATATTAAAACCCTAAAATCATTGTTAAAAATTATAAATATGTGAATTACCCATGATGCCGAATGTGTAGGGAACATCAGGACCGACTTTAGGAGGGGTCGTGAAGGAGAATTGTCTAGTGGAACGACCAGTTCCAAGCTCGTAGAAATACTTAGTATCGTACTAGCACAAAGAAGAAAAGTAACAAAAATTAGTTTATTTACGAAAACTATTTGAACAAATCAGTTACTTAGATGAAAAGGTAAAGAAATTTTAAAAACCTCAAGCCCTTTAATGGTGGCATGATGAAGAAAACCAGAGGTGTAGTCATGGTATCTATAAGACGTCGTTGACGCTTCAGCGCTCAGATTTGTACTTTTGTCACTAGTGGCGATCCAGTACTTAACAATGTTAGAACCATCATCGTTTATTGGTGTCACCCACGAAATTATCATACCTCGACCGTTGTGATCTCCTTGCGTTATATGAACCTGAGGAAAAAAAAGAATTTTTGTATAAGTCATAATTAATATAGAGTAAGATTTGATTTTTTTTTTTTTTAAAGTTGAAAAGCACTTGTTCAGGAGCGTTTAAGCCAGCAGGAGGAGGAAAAGTTTCGAGTGGCATTTCTTCCGAAGGTTCAGCTACTCTAGTGTAAGTACTGGTTACTCCAGCATGGCTCACAGCAGAGAGACCTAATAATAAAACGGTAAAGAAAACGAGAGCTAAACGATTCAACGACATGTTGAATTTTCTTTTTATTGCAAAATGCCTAATGTTTTCTACTTTGTGAATGTTTGGAGAAGGTGATCGATCGATCTTTATATAAGTAGAAAAATCTGAGGTATATTCTAGTTATCCCGTTGAAGATTTTTTTCCAAAGAAAATCAACTACAAAATTTAAATTTATGAGAACAAAGAAGATTCTCGGAATTATTCTGGTATAAAATCTCTGAACAAACAAAAAAAAATCACGTATAAGATAATCATTTCCAAATCTTGGGAAAATTTGAAAAACAAAAACTAAAAAACTTGGAAAAATATATGTAAAAAAGATAATCGTTAGACGTTATATTACTTATTAGAAAGAAAAGGCAGACGTTAGACAAATAAAAAACCTACTTCCTTTGAACAATGTTAATCCATTATTAAAGGGTTGTTTCTGTTTAGTTATAAACAAAAGTTACTGGATAAAGCTTTTCTTAATTTGTTTTATCTTTTCTTCCTATTTTGTTGTTTTTGAAATGGAATCAGTGATCTAATAATCTAAGGCTATGAATATGGTATGAAATGTGAAGGTTCACATGTGAATTCAGTTACTCCATAACCGATTGAAAAGTTTACCTATCCAAAGTTGTGGAAACACCGGCTATGTATCAAAAGCAGTGGCAGTCTTTTGGATTGTTCCATATGTGAGTGGACAATGCTCCATATTCAAGCCATCTCAACGACCCAGAAGAGAAAATTAACCAACCTGCTATTAAATAAGAGGCTTTGGTCAGTCCATCAATAATTCCATTCTAAATATCAAACATAAACACTGTAACTATTTGGACTTGACTAAAAGATTCCACCAGATGAATGAGCACATCACATAACCTTTATGAAAGGCCGCAGAAGATTTGATTATTTGAAAACTCTTTTTTAACTTTCTGTAACTACTACTAAAAGTTACAAACGTAAACTATGGATAAATCTAGCAAACTCTCTTTTTATATCTAATGTATCTTTGTAAACGGTATAATGGTTCCGGAAAAAAAAAAGGCAAGGCTGATTGTCGAGTATATGTAAAGACACCACACACACACATACATATATTCAAGTGAATTCAATTAATATTTGCCACACCAAAAAAAAAGGTCGAAGTTACAAAGAATTTAATTCTAGATTATAGACTTACTTTGGCAAAAGAAATAGCAGCAATCTATGTATCTTGAGATCTTGAGATTCACTTCCACCAAGAACCTTTTGAGACCAGTCTTCTATTCTACCATTCTTATGTGGTGTCTATCTTCAAGATCTCTTCGACTGACTTTGGCTTTCTGAAATCAAAGGCATTATTTAGTGAAGAGACAATCAAAATCCAAAGCAACTAAGCTATGCAAAATCAGACGCAGCTACAAGAAATATACTGTTTAACATCATCCACATCAGTGTTTCATCTGGCTTCCCAATTTCATTTTCAAGGCCAGTCACAGAGAAATCATAACCTCTACAAAAAAAAAAAAGCAACAAGAAACTTAATTATATGGAAGAACATCGATTGGATCACACACAGGAAAACGAAAATTGACCAACACAATCATGTGGATCAATGTTTTAACTTGATTTTCTAATTTCATTCTCTTCCCAAAAACAATACCAAACCAAAGAAGTAAGGATTAATTAACAACGAAACTGAAATTGAAAATGGCATTTCATTGAGATCATGAAGAGAGAAAGAGAGAGAGATTTATGGAATAATGATGGATTTATGCTGACGGAGAAGCTTCGAATGCATGCATGATACGCCCATTTTACAATTTTCCTCACAATTAAAAGGATTTTAAGGCAGAAAAATAAAGTACGATGAAGAGTTTCGTAATTCTTGAAGATGAAGAAGCAACTATTTAAGTCAGAATTTAAATAAATAAATAAATAAAAGAGAGAGACATGTGTCCTCGTTTCCAAATATAAAATAGGGGGTACGAAAGATTTTTTTTCTTTTGGCGAACGGTTAAATTTTATTTATTTTTCGAATGGGACATTGTTTTCCACAGGCAACATGGGCCATACAGTTGTGAGTTGCCTTATATTACAAAGAAACACGATTAAGCATTTATAATTTAACAGACCGATTTTGAATCACTCTGTAGAAGCAGATGTTGGAATTTGTAGTGGTCGTGTGATTGTGAACCAAGTTGTGAGATAAGTATCTTCTGGCTGAACCGTATGGTGATGAGAAGATGATGCAGTCTCGCGGTTTAAACCGGCCAATTTTGCACGAATCAGCTGGTCGATATTGCGAATTATGGCCGTGAAAGGTCGAGATTCATTTCGATTAATTAGGAAGTCTTTAGACTCTAATTAATGGTAGCAAATCATTATTATCTAACTAAAATCAACTTAATTATTTATTAGGGAAGTTTGAGTTTTTTTATTTTCACTGTAAAAATAAATGGAAATGAAAGGATGAGAGTTTGTTTAAGTTAACAAAATATATATATACAGAGGAAGAATATTATATTGCTCTTGATCAACAAAAAAAATAAGACGATTATCTTAAGGAAAATCAAGAAGTGTTGAAGAATAATTATGTTGGCTTGAGAGTTGAGACCCATATCTTCTTTCCACTTTCATGATAAGGCTATCAATGGACAATTAGAGTTTCGATTGGGGCTTTAAAAAACATAATTATAGAGGCTTAATCATTCAAACTCACAAAAATTAAATTTGGGCACAAGGAAGGAAATACACACACATACGAAAAACAAAGAACACAAACATATTCGTCCCGCAAATATTTTGCTCATTCCATATCACGAAATCAAGAGTTAACCTTCCTACAGTTCTTCCTGATCTCACCACTTGAACCTGTCAAGGGAGAGATATTCCCCATCTTGACCATCGATTCCGCGAACTGCTCGAAGAACTCTTCTTGATCCTCTGCATACTTCTTCACAAGCTCACTCGATTCCTCGTTACTAGAGAACAAGACCTGGTCGGAATTCAAAAGTCCCATGTTCTCGATCAAGTTCTTGAAGTAGCTGTTATCAAACCTCCCGGCACTGTTGATGTCAAGCTCCGACAGGTTCTGGTCCCCACCTGATCTAGGACACATCTGGCGCAAGTTAGCAGCGTAGGATTGCTCTAAGGTGGAGTCGGGACTTCCGTTTCCGGATTGGTTGTAAAGTCTTTGCCTGAAACTCGTGCATCTTGAGAATCCAATGGTGTGACTCCCTGACAAAGACATATTAGGGTTTAACGTCAGCTTGAGAAGCAAGTAAAGTAACCATCACCATATCTCTTCCTTGTGTGTAAAGTAAGCTTACCGGAGAGAGCAACGAGGTCGGTTAGATCAAGACCCTGATTAGTAAATCTGGAGAGAATTGTGTTGAAAGTGTTGTTTGGTGCAGGAATGTTGTTATTTGAGCCACTCAAGCTGGCAGTTGTCGAATCTCTTCTTCCCAAAGGAACCATCCAGCTTGGTCCGCCAGTCTACACTCAAACCGAAACCAATTTAGATCTTGAGAACTTAAATAAGCATGCAAGAGAGAGAAAGAAAGAAATCAACTTACAAGAACAGATGAGTCTCTAGCGGCCAGAGTTAAGACGTCAGCGCAAGAAACAGTTCCAGGGCATTCATTCTCTAACGCAGCTTTGATCTGGTCGACAACCTCAAACCCGCGAGCCGATCTGCTGTTAGGGTTAGAGCTTTTCTCAGTAACTATACTCCCACTGGTGTCTAAAAGCAACGAGCCATCACAACCCTACACATTTTCATTCAAATAGATACAATGATGATTCTCTACATTAATCGTTAGCTTGTTGAGAAAGTAACTTAAAAAAAAAATCATTGAGTACCTGAACAAAACAATCGTGGAAGTGGAGCCTCATGAGAGAAGCAGCCATACGAGTCTCTCTTGCAACAGCTTGGGCTACAACTGACTTCACGATCTCCTCGGCTTTAGGGCACGAGCTGCTGTAGAAACCTGGGGAAAGGTTCCCTCTATTACCACCATAATTACTCTCGTCGTCCCCGATGCAGAGAGTAAGAGAGCAAGCGAGAGAGAGAAGAACGAGAAGGCTTCCGATTCTTGCCATTGTCAATTTCTACTAGATCAAGAAATAAAAGAAAAGAAAAGAGATGACTTTGTTGTGATGATAAGAGATATGGAGGAGGAGGAGAAGAACAAATGGTATTTATAGACAAGAGAGTTCGCGGAAATTTTGATTTGTGGAGAGGAAGAAGAAGCAAAGGCAATAGAGTTGGTAGCTTGATTGGAGTAAAATTAATTTAGCGAAACAATTTTAAAATGAATACATTAAAAAAATTATTTGAATTTATGAAGACTAAATCTTTGGTTTGGTATCCAAATGTCCCACTCTTGCATGACTTGACTGACTATTTCACCGCCCTTTTTGGTTATTACTAGTTTTTAATTATTACTTTTCAAAGTTTACACAAAGTTAAAACTAATGATAGGTGCAAAAGTTAAAATTAGTATCTAAAAAGTGAAAACTATATACTTAAAAGAGTGGATATATGGTGCTGAACTAAAAGAGAGCAAAAATATGCATTTCGATCTATAACAAAAAAAATATGGCGTTCTCCATCTTTAGTTCTAATTAGTTGAAGCTAAATAGCAAGTCAAATACAAAGAAGTGAAATGAAAATGTAGATGTGACATTTGATTCAATAGGTTTTTGCCGTCCGGATCAATACGATTAACTCTTGAAAAATGAAAAACAAACAAAGAGGAAAATTAGTTGGAGTGAATATGAAAAATCTGAGAACCATTTTTGAAATTGAAATTATACAATGGTGATTTGGTGTCAAAGCAGGCGGCAAATCGTAAACGCGTTTTTAAAATTTTTGACACTAGTATTTTAAATCATTTGGTCGAACCTACTATTATTGTAAGCGTCATTTTACACTTTTACTTGGTCGTGAGTTTAAGGTCTCCCAAGTCTTCTTTTGTGTTATAAACAAATACTAAAAATAGATAAAGAGTATGAACAGTTTGTAACTGCTCTCTTGACAAACAAAAAAAGCCAATGCAAGCAATATCCCTCAAAAGTTTCATATGTTTATTTGGGATTGACTTCTAAACAAAAACCAAAAGGGACTTTGTCCTTGTTCTATTATAAGACATGGATATGCAGGTAAAAAGCAATCTCAAGGGTGAAGAACATTTCAACGTCATCTGCGATTCACACTTGCATTTAGGTTTGACTCTTGACATCGTCTCCTTCTAGAATCAAATGATCAAGAAAAAAAAATGCATGTCATCTACGTAATAAGTACTTGAACCGCGTTATATTGTTTTTATACAGAACCGTTTCTAGAAAGAAACAAAAGGGCATAAAACGAGTTTAAAAACTGACCCTTGATATACGATAAAATATGGTAACTATATAATCATATCGAAATCATACAATTAAATGCAAAAAAAAAACTAATATGTAAACGATTTAAGTTTTGAAAATATTGTTTGTCAAATATCGAAATGTGTTTTTTTTTTTTTGAGATTAGGGTTTTAAGTATAATATATCAGTAAATTTTTTAAAAAAGGAAAACTGAATACTGAACATATCATTTCATAGTAAAATTGTTATATTTAGTCATTAATCATTATATATAATAAATTTCAATAATGTTATTATGTTAGAATGACTTCCAACTCAAAAACCAATTGCGATAATTGGATTTAGTCTATAACCTTTACTACAAAAAAAAAAGTGTATTGTTACAAAAAAAATGGGACTATTTGTTATTTTTCATACGAAACTGAATAGTGGATTAATTTTGGGTTGGATCAAATCAATCATACTTCTTTCGACACGGGCTGGATCGATTTCGGTTTGGTGCCCTTTAAAACAATTAATAATTTAAATAATTAAGCACATTAAAATTGGAGAGAAGTATACAAAGTGGACCGAGTCTATTTTAAGAAATTGGCCAGCTTAATTAGATGGGCCAAACATTTGTAATAAAAGCAAATTCGGCTCTGAATAATGTAGCCGAATTCCATAAAGCAATAATTACGTGGACTTCACTATACACGTACGGTACGGAGAGGTTTTCTTTGTACAAACATTTGAAATTAGAGCTTGTGACTCGCGCAATCACCAGTTCGAACATGTATAGCCAGATTTACTAGTCTGATTTCATAGAGTGGATTCTACCTGGAGTCTGGAGAAGAAGTTGAATGGCTCCGAAACATTATAAAGAAAATATTCATGTGTAGCCTAAGCTATAGTGTAAGTTTGTAACCATTCGCCTATGTTGTGATAGTCAGTTTGCACTACGTAAAACAAAGTCATATACTTACTAAGAAGTCGCTACATATATATGCACAGAGACAATCACTACATCTACATGTGACTTGGTGCGTGACGAAATGGTTCTATTCTTTATGTTAGAACAAAATGATTTGGTGGATCGCCTTTCAAATTTGAATGATGGAATTACACTACACCATGGTCCATGTACCGTACATTCATATTTGTTTGTTGCTTTGTTAGCGCAAGTTTCGATTTTGCTCCATAAAAGTGGTCCTATTTCAATAAAATATATTGGGATCAAGGTTGTGCCTATGTGAAAAGAATTGAAACATTGGTTTATGGGCCTATTGTTTTGAAAAAAATTGAAAAATCCAATTTATACTAATTTAATATCATTAATTATTAAAATTGAAAGATTTAGATTTAGTTTGAAAACAAAAATGCTTTTCTTTAATAAAATTAGCAACTAAATTAATAACACAATACAATACTAAGACAACATACATAGCCATCTAAACAGTTCAGCAAATTGATCTTTTTTTATATATAAAATTACCTTTTCAACTCTTCATTTTTTTTTGAATTTTTGAAAACTTCTTACTCCCTTTTTCTTCTTTATAAACAACCACATAATCAAAAACTTTTTGCCAATTGTTAAGTTTTTTAATTACAATTTTGTTTCATCTAATATTAGAATTAATTTAATTTGTGATTTGTTAGTCTGATTTTTTTTTGTTTAGGATGATAATTGTTAATACTTATTTTATATGAATTTGAAATGATGATATTATTATTTCTTTTATATGAATTAGATTAGTTTTATATGAATACAACATGAAAATGGTTAATTAGAATTTTTTAACATAAAAAAAAGATTATAGTCTTTTTTTAAACATCACCTACGGGCTCCGTATATCTGGGCACGGCTCTGATTGGAATGTATCCCAGTTTGGTCTATGTTTCAAGAAGGCTCAAAATCCAGACAAATAATAGTATTATATGAATATGTATTTACAATGAATAAGACGAAAAATACGATATGCGTATATACATGCACTCAAATGTTTACGCAAATATACACATTTATGGATTTTTCACAAGAGAAAAAAATAAATTATAGATTGTCATACGATTCATACCTAATAATTGTCTCGGGTCATATATAGGAAAAAATAATAGCCCATCGTTAGTGATGAGATCATTTTTCTATTATATTTATTTCCACAAATCATAAGAAACAGCCAATGATTTTGAACAAGTGTGTAGGTTCACATATACAAGAAGAATACGACAGCCAATAGTGTGATTATTTTATTTTTGTCATGATGTTTATACGTATTTCGTTTTCATATTTATATTAAGCGGTGCCTGTGACTCTGTGACATAACATAAAGTTTTTTTTTCTTTTGTTTTTTTGTCTCCATGATAAAGGTATCATTCAAATTATGATGATAGTATTAAAAAGGAAAAAGGTAAAAGATAAACCGATGCCTTATTCACTCACAACAATATAGGTATACAACTCTAAACTTTTTATTTTTGTTAAAGAACACTACAATAAAGTCTTCAAGATATTTAGAAAAGACAAATGCAAAGCAAATTAAACGAAATTGACGTTAAACATTTCCTTGGCCACATATGTAATAAATAGAAATCTTCAAGATACCATGTTTAATAAATGTTTTGCGTTTGTACAATTGGCATTACATTCCAAGAAAAAGAATCATTGAGTTTTGTGAATTTATGTCCATGTCCTTTTGTATGAATGATAATGAGTGTTTTGACTCCATATTTTTCAGACAAAGTATATACTTTTTCTGTTTCGTGAATGTTGTTTGACTAAAAAATTAACTATACAAATATGTTGGTATTTAAGAAGTATGTTACTAAGTAAATAATACGAATGAATCAATTTTGAAATAATTAATTTTGACTAAAAAAGTTTAGGAACTTAAGTTTGAAAAAATCATATAGAAAATGTACAGAAGTCTTCAAAACGTAACTCGGGAAACGGATGAAGAATATAATAATGTCTTGATATAATATGGAGAAGACAAACGATGATTAATATAGAGATAATCATATCAATTATAGAATTTGAACTTTATATTAATTAACAAAAAAGCACACACCAATACATGACAAATGACAGCCTATATATATTATGCCCCAAAATATATATAAGTTTATTTATCCTTCCAACCAATCAAGATGCATGTACTATAATTACATCTTCACACCAACCCAACAACACCAAAAAAAACCTAACTTAAAAATAAAATAAAAAGGGGGCAATAATACTAGTTTTTTATAATTAAATTTAACTTAATACATGTTGATATCATTAGCCATGATGGGTTGGTTAGTGTAAACCGAACCACCCCAATGATTAACGCTACCCATCATATCATCGTAATATCCGTCGCTATTAATCCCAACCGTACGATCATCGAATCCACAGCCGTCGATCTGATCGACACCACTGAATCCTGCACCACCATTGTTCGTCGTCACGAGATCGACGATCTCGTTCAACGACTCGAGTCTGGTGCTTAGCTCTGACATCTGAGCGGTCAAAACGGAATTCTCGGCTTGGATCTTCATGTAAAGCTGAGATGTGACGGTGAGACTCGTCAAGATCTGACGGTTGTCGCTTGAAAGCTGATTGATCTGAGCCGTTAGATCGTCGACGTGTTTCTGTTTACGCATCCTGGATCTACGTGCAGATTCACGGTTCGATAGCATTCTCTTACGCTTTCGCTCGTCGACGGCGACGACGGAATCCGATGGATTACCACCGTCGGAAGAGCTCGAGCTCCGGTATGTGCTGCTAGACGATGCCATTGATTCGGGACGCAAAAAAGGTTTCAACTTTTAACCAAGAAAATTACAAGAACGAAAAAAAAAGACAGATTTTTGTATTATATTTTTGTGGGTTTGTCTGAAATATAATTGATGTGATATTAGCTAGATTTTAATTTCGAAAAGGGAGGCAAATCATGAAACGTTGTAAAACCAGTAGAGGAAGACGACGGAGAAAGATTGAACAAGATGGGTTCTACGGCGGAGAGCAGATTTAACCGTGAGCCCAGAGAGCAGGATTTCGCAGAGAACCGGAGTCATCAGTTTCCAATCATTAAATTCTCAAACTTTTTAATGATTCTTTCCTCGGTTGTGAGATTTTGGATGCAAGAACAGAGAAACAGAGGAAGATAGAAATATATATATATTTTGGAATATGTTGAGGAGGAAGAAGAAACAGAGGAGATAAATATAAGGGAAGATTTTGGAGATAAGGAAGAGAACTTGTGTGAAGGGGAAAGAGGTTTTCGATGAAGGGTTTGTTGTGGATTATATAGAAACCAAATCTCAAGCATCCACTTGGTATTATTTTAGAATATTCTTTTTATTTCATATTTTAAGGAAATAATGGATGGTTGAAGAAGCGTTACCACGCCCATTGTTTTATCATTTTAATTTTATACTTCAAAAAATATCTGTAGCTGGTGTACTTTTGCTTTTTAAGAAAAAAAATTCAAAAGACTGTAATTAGATATAAATATATATATATATATTTATGGTAAGTGTGGAATTTTGTATGGTCTGATTAATGCTGTATAGTAAAATGAACAAATAGGGGAGTAAGTTGACCAGAAATCAAGATAAAAAAGAGATACAGCCATGTGTCTTCAAAGCCATGCAACGATTTAGTTAATCTCAAAATCGTTAATTTATCAATGATTCTGAAATGACAAATGTTTGTACATTATGAGTGTTACAAAAAAATAAGACAATTCAACTAAAATACTTGTCTAGGCTCTTGAATAATAAAAATACAATATAAATTCATATTGGTTCAGTCAATGCTTTGGAAATAAAACGAGAAAGTTAAACAATTACACTTTTTATAACAAAAGTAGAAAAAGATAAATCTTAGGTGTAGTCGCAATTACTTTTATTTACTATTGAGGATAATATGCAGTTTACCATGAATGAGCTAATCACATGACGACGTGTGGATGATGAATTCGTAAACCGGAATGGTTTATAACCTCGTGTTTACCAAATTTTTATTGGTCGTCCGGCTTAACTGAGACGACTTGACCACCGTCACCTTTTAATAATTTCGCTTCACCTCGTACAAATTCGAGTTACCGTTGGTAGTTAGTTGTTAAATCATTTCTTTTCACCGACTAGGCTGCTGCCACTACAGTGCACGACGCCGTTTTTGACGAAATCTCTTTAATAGATCTGCACCGTACGAAATCACGTGCATTGCGTAATCCATGTTATAAATCAGCGGCTCTTAATATACTTCAAAGTTCAAATTTAAAAATAAAAATAAACAAAAATTAATTATCTGGCGAAAGAAAGTTTAAACAATACTTAAAAAACAATATAAAGGTGATTAACACTTAACCTCTAAGTAGAGGCAGGGGACAATAATCACATGGGTCCATAGGTCATCTCTTCTGGAACTTCATAACATTTTTTAATTGTATAAATTTAATAATCTATAAAACAAATTGAAAATCAGTCCCTAATCAGAGATCAAATAAAGACTAATTGACGCATTAGTGTTAGGTGAAATCCGTATTAATACTCCAGTATTTTGCTAATAATTCTATTTAGAACAATATGTAACTTATTAAATTAATTATAATAAGAGGAATATTCCAAAATACTACTATGAACTTCGTATCTGAAAATATCACACGTTTTTTAGAAAATTTTCCTAAATATTCAGGAAAACTGTCTAAAACTTTAGAAATGCTTTATTACTGTTTTAGCGTATATCCTTAGAAAGAAAAAACACAAAAATGTATGTTTATACAATGTCTTTTGATTTGAATTCTCCACCATGTATTGAGGATTCTTGTTTGGCCAAAAACTGTTTATAGTGTTATTATTTTTTATTATTTAAATTTAAGTGTGTTGCTTTTACGAATGACGTCCCGGTTTACGTATCAAGTATTTACTATGAATATATATATATATATAATGTATTTCAAAAGATAATGAGAAAAAGAAAATGCAAAGTTAGGTTGGAAGGGGCCATCAAAATATGGCATACTCTTATTTAGCTTTTTTTCTTTCTTTCCTTCGACTGTTTTTTTTTTTCCATGATTACTAGTAAAGGTACATAACATTCAGAACATATCCACTTTCTAAATTTGCTGTAATTGAAAATTTTACCCTTATTTTTGTGTTAGAATGTGAGAATTTACCCTTTAAGCAACCCTAAACTGTTTATAGCAGAACACATACCAAATCATCTGGAGACACAGGAGATTTCTTTGGTCCAGTATGTAAATCACTAAATCTGATATTAAAAATACACAAAAATGGGCTGCTAAATGAGTCACAAAATCGTTGTGGCTCCAGCTTTGAGAAAGAAAATAGAATAGTGGAAAGATGAGGAGAAAAATAAGAGTTTACTAAATTAGACCATGTTCATTGAGAGTCCTTCACATTTTTTAATTGGGTTGTTAATGAATATTTTGAGTTAAAAATAATGAAAAGGAAGTCCAAAATATAAGGGCTAAGTCCAAAAAAATATTATAATATTTTTAAAGAACTTTTAATGAAATCCTCTAATGTACATGCCCTTAGAAAACGATAAAAAAAAAAAAATTGAAAGCAAGTCACTACATGCAACCACAGCCCACAGGTAAGACCTTAAATTGGACCATTCCTTTATATTGTTCATTTGTTTTCTCAGTTAGTTTAAACAATTGTTAAGAAAGACATGTCAAATAGAAGTTAATCTCACTTTAATTTTGAGGTATTAATATATAAATATCTCAATGATGTAATTGATGAGGAATATTCCCAAACAACGTTTGTTTTATATTCACTGAACCTCTTTATAAAAGTCTAAACATACAATAGGCATATCAATGAGGTCACTTATCTCATAATATTTGAATTTGATTATATTATAAATGACTTATAAGTCAGCATTTTCGGCAAATTAATAATCATTTCCTTTTGAAAGCTGTTTCTAATTTTTTACTGTCCCAAACCAAAAAGAAAAATTATATTATGTAAACCTAGAGCAATCTAGATATAGTAAAACTTTATAAATTAATAAATATGATAAATAAGTTTTTTATTTAAATTAACGTAAAACTTAACAAAATTTGATAAAGTAATAAAATAGTAATTTTAAAAACCTTTAGACAAATTTCTATATGTATATAACTATAATAATATACTAATATATAATTTTAGTATATAAAACCCAAATTTTATGGTCAATTATTAGTTTAAAGTTAATTAACTCTTCTTTTTATTTATTTATTATATTAAAAACTTTTAATGTTGTGTGTTTTTTTATCTGCTTCTAAAACTCGTCTTTTGTCAGTTGTATACCTAAGCATATAACTTTTTTGTTAAAAAAGACATTGTATAGTTTTTTCACACAAAATTAGACATTAGTATTTTAGTAGTTTAAAGAGACGTCCGTTTTTCCTCTTACTACAATTTGCGAATAATATAACACCACAAAAACAGATTACGAAAATCATTAGCTTTTTTAAAAATAAAAAAGAAACAAAGAAAGAGCTACTATATTGACTACTACTTCACCACTAAGCAAAGCCTCCTTCAAAGAGGCAAAAATAGCTTTATTTTACTTCGGTTCAAGAAGATCTTACAGCTCATGTGCTTCTGTTAAAAGTGATTTGATTCTCTGCATCTTTAAAAAGTGAAAAGAAAAAAAATATGTCACACGGTTGTCGTCAAATGATTTATAACCCATTGGCACATAATAGTTTTGTTATGTTACTTGAAATTTTGATGTGTCGAATTTTAATAAATGGGGTTGACTATCTCATTTCTCAAATTTCATTTGAAGAATAAACTCGAAGCGGTTTATTAGACTTGTTATTCAATCGGGACTCTGATTCCAAAAAAAATAATTAAAATCGTTTATCCACTCATTCGTTCAGAAATTAAAATTGAACTCATTTGGTGTTCAATAGTAGTTTTTCTTTGTAAATTCAATGAATAGTTCTGAAGGACATACGATACGTATTTTACCAAATTAGAAAGACGAGTCTTATATAATGCCTTAGTTATTGACAAAAAAATTTCATTTCAAAACAAAATGGATTTGAAATTTAAAACTGATTAAAAATTCACTTCTTTCCGTACTATCTAGTTTATTACGAATTGCACATTCATTTTTGCCATAATTAGTGAGATTACTGCTAAAAAAACTGAGCAATAAAGAAGATAGACTCGATTCCTTAACTTTTTATATAATCTTTTTTTTAATTAATTTTCTAAGCTAATGGGCCACAACGAAGTGGAGGAAGACCATTTGAGCTTGGATTTATCACATTTTAAAAAAAAAATCCGGTCCATAAATCTTATTCAAATAATATTTTTATCAAAACAAAAAAATATATTCGAAATTGGATCAGGTTCTCAAACGGCTTAAATACAGGTTTTAGCTCATCAACAACCCATAAAATTAACCAAGTAATACCTCAAATTCTGCGTCTAGCAAACTTCAAGCTATCGATTACTTAGTCAAACAAGCTATCTGAGTTAGTCCAAAATATTTTATAGCGGTTTAGAGTCGTTACAAAAAATTTTGGAGGAAATATAGCATGAGTTATCTTGAAATTTACAGTGGCAGTTTAGACTTCGAAGGGAGCTATAAAGAGAGACTCAAGACTTAATATTGCACAAATCTTTTTAGCACTAATCGCACTACGCTCTACGAGCTCTCTTTATAATCATTTTCGTCGAGAAAACTTGTGCTCGTCTATATCCGATTAATACAAAATTCAACTTTTTCATTTCTATACACAACTGATTCAAAATATTTGGCACATCGTTATAATTTTCTAATCCAAAAATTATACACAAAATTTTGAGTGTAGAATTTAGCATTCATCTTATATTATTATTTTACAAGGACACTTTAAAAAGACTTTTGGATCATGTGTAATTTACAAATGTGTTATGCTGAGGTGTCAAGTTCAGAAAGCTTCTCAAAATCTTTTTACAAAAAGGTTTATGTTACTAGAATAATTACAACCAATACCACTTATATTAATTTGGTTAAAAAACAAATATAACTTATAAAACTAATCATTAAAAGTAATGGTTTAAAATATATCTTTCTTTCTATAATTAAACAAACCAAAATTAGTAAATCATTTCAAAATATATTTATTAGCAAATTAAATAGAAAAAAAGATTTGAGATTTAATTATCTCATATTAATTATTTTCTTATCTTTAAACCTTATTCAATAATATAATATAAAATATTTTTAAATTATTATATTTCTTTTATTCTCTTTAATTTATTTACTTTTTCTGAATCAATTATCACATCAAACATATAATAAATTTATATCTTATGCATATGCGATAATTTGAATTTTGAAAAACAAAACAAAATATTCACTAAATTTTTTATTTAATAAGATATATCAATTTTTCAGTTAAACTATTAACTATAAAATTATATTCACATTAAAAACTAAGATGAAAATTAATACTAAAATATTATAATCATATTATATATTTTTAATTGCAATACTAATGAAAAATTATATTAGTACTCATCATAATACTATTAGCATACATATAAAATCAATTAAACTATTTATTTTTAAATAAAATAAATTATGTTAAATAAAATATTTTTTAGATACTTCACGCGGCGGGCGCATGACACGGAAGCTATTTGTTTATGATTTATAAATATTTAACTAAAACTATGCATTCAATATTTCTATAGATTTTCTGATTTTTATACTTTTTAGAAAAATCATTGTAGTTAACCATTTAAAAAAATATTTAAGACAAAAACAAAAATTCTATTTTTTGCAAAAATTTCAGTTACAATTTTTTCAAATATAATACAGATGAAATTTGGTTGTTACCTAAAATAGTTATCAGATATATTTTGCATTTATTTATGTTTATTGATGATTATTTTTTAAAAAATCAAAATTTTTAAAATCTATATATAACAATTTGGAATCCTTTTCGATTATCCTCTATATAATAAAATTAATACTAAAATATTATAATCATATTATATCTTTGTAATTGCAATACTAATACAAAATCATATTAGTACTCATCTTTTTTTTTTTAACTTCAAATCAAATTTTATTATAATGAAATAGTGTAATCCTCGTGGAGGACAGATACAATACACGTAGGAACATAACGAAGTGAAATAAATTGAGAATTAGAAAAAGTTTCATTTGCCAAGATATCAGCTGGTTGGTTACTGCTCCGATCTACCCAGATAAAATCAGTGCACTCAAATTTTCCTTTCCACAATCGAATCTCACGAACCAAATTATGCAGACCAAAATGTTGATCTGTTCCATTGATGAGCTTTGGGACTTTGTTATTATCTCCTTCAAAAATGATTTTCCTATATCCTCTGATCCAAGCTTGTTGCATTGCCATTAGAAGTCCTTGTAATTCTGCTTCAAGAGATGAGGTACATACTAATCCAGTACTCTGACCTGCCTCCAAGTAAAAGCCTTTCTCGTCACGCAGAATCCACGCTCCTTTAGAAGAAACACCATTGCTCTGGTATCGACAATCATAGTTGCATTTCACGTATCCTTCTTGCGGACGTTTCCAACTTGATCTTCTAATATTTGGAGAATTTTGGTTATCCACTGATCCTTTCCAAGTCTGGGACAACATACTGATAGCCATTCCTTTGTATCCATTTTGGCACTACGAAGATCCTTCCTCCAATTACTACTCTGTTTCTGATAAATTAAGAGATTACGACTCTTCCAAATCCTCCATAAAACCCAAAGAGGCAATTGTCGCAGTGTTGGAGAGAGCTGACGGTTTTGATGGCCGTCAAGAATAGCTTTGAATTTTACGTCAAAACTGGTATTAGGATCTGTTAATTCTGCATATGGAAGCTGAGCACTGCGCCAAATTGCCTGAGCATATTTGCATTTGAAAAAAAGATGGTCCATCGTTTCTTCTTCTGAGCAGCAGCGTCTACATTGGGGGTCAGTGATTATACCTCTATAAACCAAACTTGAACCCGTTGCCAATGCATTTGATAAAATTCTCCAAAGAAAATGACTGATCTTCGGAGCTGTCTTTAATTTCCAAATTGCTTCCTTAAAAACAATCTGACCTGGAGGTGGATAGATAATATCCTCTTGAGCAGGGAGGTGAGTCGCAAGCCAATATCCCGATTTAACAGTGTATAAGCCTGAATCTGTATAGTGCCAACCTAAAAGATCATTTGTTGTGAACGCACTGAGACGAATTTTTAGGATTTCAACTGCATCTTCTGGGACAAATAAATCGTCAATTAAATCCTGATTCCATCGCTTATGAGGAGTTGCAAAGAGATCCGAAACTGATGATATGTTTGTGATGATTCCTTCACGTAATCTTGGAGGTCGTGGTGGATGTATAGGTAACCATGGATCGATTAGAGCTTTTGTGTTTCTTCCATCACCAATAAGGTACCGTAGACCTTGCTTCATCATATCTCTACCTTCAAGTAAAGATTTCCAAATAAAGGAGGGTTTATATCCTCTGCCTGCTTCAACGATATTTGATTCTGGAAAATAACGACCACGGAGGAGTCGCGAGACAAGGCTATTTGGTGCTTGTAAAAGACGCCAAACTTGTTTTCCCAGGAGAGCTAGATTAAAATGTTCTATATCCCTGAATCCTAAACCTCCTTCTTTTTTTTGGAAGACCCATCATTTTCCAAGCAACCCAATGCATTGATCTTTGACCTGAGCCTTTACTCCACCAGTAGTTGGCAATGATTCCATTAATCTCATCGCATCTTCCTTTAGGTAGCTTAAAGCAATTCATCGTATAGACTGGCATTGCTAAAGCCACTGTTTTTAACAGTATTTTTTTTCCCGCTTCAGATAAAAAACTATGTTTCCAGCCCTGTGTACGATCTTTAACTCTTTCCACAATATAGTTAAAAATCTCTTTCTTCTTACGACCTATCTGCTCTGGGAGTCCAAGATACTTACCACAGCCTCCATCATTGTGAATGTTCAGGATTCTCCGTAATCTTGTTTTGACATCATCAGCAACTCTAGCTCCAAAAGTGATTGCAGATTTGTTTAGATTAACAGCTTGCCCTGAGACCTTCTCATAAACCGTGAGCAACCGCATAATCTCTTTACATGATTTCGGATGAGCATGCAGAAGAATAATGCATCATCAGCAAACAAGAGATGATTAATAGTTGGACCAGTATTGCTTATCTTCATACCCTTTAGCCTCCCCGCATTTGCAGATTTTGTGAAGAGATGACTCAGAATTTCAGCACAAAGTATAAAAATGTAAGGTGACAAGGGATCACCTTGTCGAAGACCACGTTCTGGTTTTATCGTCCCTCTCGGGGTTCCATTCACAAGTGTTGAGAAATTCACAGACTCGATGCAATTCATTATCCAACCGATCCAAATATTGCTGAATCCCATCTTCTCCATTGTATCTCGTATGAATTGCCATTCCATACGATCGTAGGCTTTTGAAATGTCTGTTTTGACAGTCATATACGAGTTGGCCCATCTTTTGCGAGATTTTAAAGAATGCAAAATTTCATGAGCGATAATGACGTTGTCCATAATATTCCGACCTGGAATAAAGACTGCTTGGTTCTCTGCAATGATAGTTGATAGATGCTGCTTCAGTCTGTTTACCAAGATTTTTGAAATGATCTTGTATGAAACATTGCAGAGAGCGATAGGTCTGAAATCACTGAATGATTTAGGAACTTCTGGTTTTGGAATCATACAGATATTGGTATGATTCATCTCATCTCGTAGTTAACCAGTTGTGAAAAAATTCTGTATTTCAGTAATGATGTCTTCTTTGATATGTGGCCAAAACTGCTGATAAAAAGCTCCGGTTATACCATCCGGACCTGGAGCTTTATCCGGTCCTATGTCAAAAACAGCATCATGAATTTCCTCTTCACTTACTGATTTTGTTAAATCAGAGTTGATTTCATCAGTGACACGAGGTTGAAACCCTTCAAAAACTGATAAATAATCTCCCGAGGCCACTCTTGTGCTTTTGAATAATTTCGTGAAATAACCCTCAGCCGCAACTCCAATATCATTATCACCACGATGTATACCACCATTCAGATCTTCTATAGCTAGAATTCTGTTTCTAGCCAATCTCTGTTTTGCAGCTGCGTAAAAAAATTTTGTATTTCTATCTCCATGTTCTAACCAGCGATTTCTGCTTTTTAATTTCCAATACTGTTCTTCTTCCAAATAAGCTTGATTAAGTTCTCCACAGATTTTGTCAAGCCTAACCTTACAAAAATTTCTACTGGAGAATACTTGATCCAACTCCTCTTTCAGAAACTTGATCCGCTCTGCAGCGTTAGTGTTATTCTGTCTTTTCCAGTTTGAGATGGATCTGCGACAATCTCTAATACAGGTACTGAATGTGTTGTTTCCCATTACTGACTTTTTCCAGCTATCGATGACTGTGTCTTTAAAACCCTCTTTATCGAACATTCTTCTATCATATCGAAACTGGTTTCTTCTGTTTTCAATAGTATAACAGCATCTCGTGACCACAGGTCTGTGATCAGAACCATCAAAAGGAAGAAACTCGGTTAAAGCAGAAGGAAACATCGATAACCATTCTGAATTTGCCATTGAACGATCTAGACAACATCTAAAGTCGTGTGTACGTCTTTTTCCTGCCCAAGTGAACCTGTTGCCCACAGATTTGATATCGTGGAAACCACATGTTGCAATCATCCGTCGAAAATCAATGAATGAGCTTTCAGGTCTCATCGGTCCACCTTGTTTTTCTTCATTACTCCTTATTTCATTAAAATCACCCACTATCAACCAAGGGCTTCTTCTGGTAGTCGAGATCCTTTCAAGTCTTTCCCATAAATAATTTCTGTCACTTGGAACCGGTGGTCCATACACAAAAGAGCAGTAGAAGCAAATTCCATTAAGATGAACCAAACAATCTACAAGGTTTGAAGACTGAAAGACAACAGAAACTGAAACTGATTTCTTCCAAAGGAGAGCAATTCCACCACTCATACCTTGTGGTGGAACTGTTACAAGCTGATCATAACCCAACTGACTACAAATATCTCTAAGGTAATCATCTTTTTGCTTTGTTTCCAAGAGGCATAGCATGTCCGGAAGATATTTACGGTATATCTCCTTTAGGCGTCGAACTGTAGGGTCTACACCAAGCCCCTGACAGTTCCAAACTGTTGTATTCATGGTGCCTTGGGTGGGTAAGGTCCCACCACTCCTTGAATCTGATCGATGCTCTGCTTACCTTCCTCATTGTACTCATTATCACGAACCACCACCTTACTTGCCATAACCTCCTCATGTTCCTCAAGCTTGCGTTTACGAGTTGAGCCATTGCCCTCTTCATTTTGTCCCAAATACGCCTGATAGTAATCTTGTAAAGCAAGTGGCTCCTTTTCAATCTGGTTAGCACTTCCAGATGCTTCGCCTGCAACAAAGTCATTCTGAAGAGAAGGATTAAAGATTCCAGTTATATCCATTGGAGCAGAGCTCCTGGCACGGAAGGTTGAGGCCGAATCTCCATTATGGCAAGCTTCCACTTCATTGTGTTCCTGTATCATTTCTGGTGGCATGTTCTCGTCTTGTGGACCATCTCCAATGTTTTCTCCTTCAAGGATATCTCTATTAGGCTCTCCATTGTGGGCTTGGATTTGGTGTTCAATACGCTCTTCCTCAACATATTGTTCATCCTCCATCATCTCATGGATTTCCACTCCATTGTTGCGATGATGTTCTGCCTGGGGCTGATAATCTTGATCATTATCATCCTTGTCTTCATCATCAGAAAGATTGTCTGGACCTCCATTCTGGATTAGGCAAGCACCGGTGTCATGAGTAATCATTCTGCAGGCTTCACAAAACCCGCGTAAGCGTTCGTAGCGAAATCTCAGAAGGGTATTAACACCCGCAGTGAATTGAAAATGACGCTGAAAACGCAAAGGTTGGGTAATATCCCAATTGAGGCACACACAGGCAAATTCAACCCTCGCCGCTGCTTCAGCATCATAGTCCACTTCTAGCACCATACCCATCGCACGTCCGATATGACGAACAACATTCTCATTCATAAATTGTAAAGGGATTCCTCTAATTTGAATCCAAAAAGGAATGAAATTCATCATTACCGGATTCAATTGAGGAGTCCAGCGTTGAAGAACCAGCATCCTATCAGAAAAGGCCCAGGGACCACGTCGGAGTACGTTCGCCATTGCTTCTTCGGTGGGGAAGACAAATTGAAAACGACCGCCTTCAATTATGCGCCCGTGAACAAGTCCTGCGTGACCCCAAGTGCGAGGGAGAACTGCAATGATGGATCGCAGATTTTGTCGGCGAGGAATAGTTGGTCTGCCCACAATGACAAATCTGTTTTCTGCCGCCGCTTGATTAACAACATCCGCCGGAAGTGCTATTGGTGCATCATCAACACCCAAGTCAAGATCTTGAACCGCCCTTCTCAGATTATCACCCATTTTTTGTAAAACTTTGTAGAAACGAAGAGGATAAAGAGCGTGATTTGGGAATTGCAAACTGATTTTTGTAAAAATCCAGTCCCGAAATCGCCATTTATAAAGACACAATGCTTCCGAAAGCAAAGGTGAATGTGCATCACTCTGAATCGAGAATTTCGGAGTGGGGATAACTTCCCACGATTGAGTAGTGGAACACCAACTTCCCCAGTCGCTGAGAATTGTAAGAACCGTCACCGGAGCGGTGAGAAATAGCCGTGATAGAAACCGTCGAAAAATCGCACCTTTAGTCATTTTGAATTAAACCAAAAAAAAAAAGTGGTTTAGTACTCATCATAATACTATTAGCATACATATAAAATCAATTAAACTATTTATTTTTAAATAAAATAAATTATGTTAAATAAAATATTTTTTAGATACTTCACGCGGCGCATGACACGAAAGCTATTTGTTTATGATTTTAAAATATTTAACTAAAACTATGCATTCAATATTTCTATAGATTATTTTCTGATTTTTATACTTTTAGAAAAATCATTGTAGTTAACCATTTAAAAAAAAATTTCAAGACAAAAACAAAAATTCTATTTTTTGCAAAAATATCAGTGACAATTTTTTCAAATATAATACAGATGGAATTTGGTTGTTACCTAATATAGTTATCATATATATTTTGCATTTATTTCTGTTTATTATTGATTATTTTTAAAAAAAATAAAATTTTGAAAATCTATATATAACAATTTGAAATCTCTTTCGATTATCCTCTATATAATAAGCAATGACTTCTATAAAATTTTACTTATCATTTAAAAAAAAATTAAAAAGTAGCATTTTGACATATTATAATTTTTGTTTTCCATAATTATTTTTTTTTCAACTCAACCTCTGATTAAAAACTTTTGAAAAATATTTTAAAATAAAGGTGAATATCATACGATGCAAAATAATATCAAATTGTTGTTGGTCTAATAATTGAGAGTGTTTTAATCGACTCAAAAGTTAATTATTTGTTTTATTTATGTTTATCATTCCAATTATTTATGCTAAAGGTAAAGGGTGTTATTGTGAATTAG